AGGTGTTCTTCGCTCGCTATAATGAAAATTTCATCAGAGAATTTCGTCTTACCTACTAGACCCACTTATCCCCGTGCTTAACCTTTGTTAATAATTTATGTGGGACTTAAGAAAAGTTATCAAGTACCTTCGTGCCTTTTAACAAAGAACATTACTGTATAAAATATTCATAAATTATACTGTGAGAGTGGAATTACGCTGTGTAGTCATAGGCGGTAATCTTTTGCGTGTTACGAAGTAATGCTTGTAAATCATCATCATTTACTTTGAAGAAGTGGTTGAGATCACCATGCTATTTATAACTTACAAACATATAATAAGTTTTAAAAATACCACAAATAAACTGGTTACATAGACCTTTGTCTGAAAACCAAAACGCCGTTCTCAAGAAAGCTATTTTTCCGTCTCCAGTACTTAATTTCTGTAATTGATATCAATTTAATGTAATCGAAGCAGTGAAATCCTAACCTTAATACCGGCTCGTGCTAAGAAAATGGATATTATAAATATAAACTCTCATTATTGCTGAGGCTTCATCTAATTCGACTGAAGGAAAATCTTCGAATACATAGTATTTAGGCTGAATTTTTCCCGAAACCCATTACGACGAAAGGTATACGAATACACGCCGCTTTCTGAATATAGTGAGCAATAAAATCTTATTCCACTCGAGAGATCTTACGGCTACCATCTATACATAAACCGGCAAAAACCCCATAAGGACATAAACAGATTCATCAGCATAAAAATATTAGCAAAGGAAATTTTTACGACTACATTTTGATGCAAACTCAGTTTCCTTATATCTCATAAATTAATTTTATATTCATTGTTTGCGTGCTATGTTCTCCTGGTAATAGTTGTTGGTAACTCGAAGCGTTTTGTTTTAATTATATTTTTCTTCACAACTACTTTATATTTGCGATGAAGAATGCCCGGTGCTAAGTTTCCTTAACAAAAAGTTGATGTACTTTTGAGCGGGTTGAATTTTTATGAATCATATTTTCATAGTTGAACGTAAACACAAAAAACAATGCTTGTGTTGTGATTCAAGTGACGTTACCCTCTATTCTTCAAAACCTAAAAGTGCGGCAACACACTTCTAAATCTTCCGGCACTGCCGAAGTCTATGAGCGGTACCGACTTACCATCAGGTGATCTTATTACTTATTTGCGTACCTATCCCGTAAAAATGGAATACCTTTCATATTTTACTTTCCATAAACTAAATCTTCGTGTTTAGATATATGACGGTCAGCGGTCATGTGTATATTCTTATTAAGTAACATTTTCTTAGGAAAGCCTTCATCATTGTAAACGACATTGGAGGCAGGAATGCATAAATAATGCATAATAATGTTTATTATGCATTATTTATGTAGATATACATTATTAATTTTGAAATTTCAGTTAAAAATCATTTTGTAAATGAAAAATTCAATTCGCTCAGTGAATAGATTAAATATATGTATGTACATATGTATAACGGAGTGCAAAACATATTCAAAAAACTGACAAATGAATTCGGACAAAAACAAAATTGTGGTTGGACAATTTTTCGCTGGAAAATTGTCACTAGTTGGTTTAAAAAGTTTTGAAACTCGGTTTGTTGGAACTAAATAAATTGCTGCGAATTGCGTGGAGATCTCTAATCCGCTGTAGTAACCACAGGTCACTTGATTTTCAGAATATTTTAACTGTATAAAATAAAGTCACAAAAACTTTTTAAAAAAAATTGTTGAAAAATTTGAATTCATGACGTCTATTACATTTTAATTAAACGACGGCACATAAATTGAGCGATGAAACTAATTGATTTATTTAAAAAAAACAATATCAAAGAGTGCAACTTTTATATGCTGTTTGTTGTATCTAACCTTACCGTAGATGAATACCATCAAAATACAAAATTTTGGCGTGTTTGAGGATAGGGTCAATTTAGTTCAGGAGACAGAATGACATAAGCTTTAAAAACACAAAAAGAAACCCAGTCGGCTAGCACTTGACGAAAACTAAGTGGGTCCTAAGTCACAAATTTATGTTCCACAAGTTAAAAAAAAGTTTGGCAAAAAGAAACGAACGTATAGAAACATGTTCGAGATTCCACAAGACCTGATTATAAAACAATATCTTTCAATTGTAATGTATTGTTTAGAGTCTCGTTGACACACAGCGTTGACCCAACAGTCGGTAGCTAGTATCGCTTGCCTCGTGTTCCACGTCATTTATGAAGAAACTCAATTTCTATTTATGATATTATTCTCTTTACAAATAAACGAGAAACTGTCTTTTAGTTAATTGCCTAGATATACATGAATTTACTTCAATGTTTTTCTAAGACTCTGCAAGTCCAATACCAAGAGTTACGAAAACAGTTCGTTGTTTATTCTCAATCTACCTACGCAGATACGCCCGAGGGATATCGTCTCAAAATGTAAGATAAATAATTGAAGATAAGCGACTACTGGCTTTAAAAACTGTGGCAGAAATATTGAGATTTCAATCACAACTCTTTTATATTCTGAGAAATTGTTTCAATAATAGAGGCTGTCTACGTCTGCAATAGATACTACGACAGCTGTAAGTAGGTAGGTACGGCGAAACACTGACAGTTACAATTCCGTCTGTTGCCAAACAACATTCATAATTGATTAAAATTCTCAGTAGAACATCGGAACTAAGCTATTAAATCGCTTTCCTATTCGGTGCACGGCACTAATTAGCCAGCTATCGCATACTACAGCAAAATTGGGGTATTATGCTAATTCTACAATCTAGCGCTTTCAGCGTTGAGCTGGCAATCTGCTAAGTACAGGCTTAGCGATAGTTGCTACATCATGTGCGATATGAACGCGATTGTGCTGAATGGAGATTAGCATGTATAGGCGCCGAAGTTATGACTGTTGTATCGTTTATGTTAGCCTGGTAGTTCAGACGGGGCGATGCAATCTGTTGCTATATTTTCAATCATAAGTTGCATAATTATTTATCATGTATGCCAGTTACTAATAGTTGTTGTCGAGGTAATTAGAGTTTCAGCAACATTCATGACTTTAAAACAAAATAGTACAATATCGAACTTAAACAAAGTAATCATAGTAAAGACAGTTATATAAAAGCAAAGTCAAAGTTTCGAATAATTTCACAATACACCGATACGCAACACAAACAGACACTAACTAAAATCTGTTACATTTTGTACATTGTGCAAAATTAGTTCTGAACTTCTTAATCAGTGTCCGTCGCTTAACAAAAACTGCACGAACTTCGTGCAAACTTGTATATTGCACAATGTTATCGGTATTGTGGAATCTTCGCAATGGGTTTGCTTATAGTGTGGTATTTTCTTTGTCGTTGTGAACGCTTGTAAAATATACGAGTCCTATTTAAAGTTTTTCTTAATGAGAACTGATAGTCAGTGAATAGGAATGAGAAAATGGGAAAAAGGTTGAACGTAGGAAATAAAATTTTCTTTCTTTGATGACGACGTATGTATATGCCAGCGGTTGTATTGATCTGGTGCTTTCCCGATAATCAGAGTGTAACTGGACCAATAAATATCGAACTATGTTCAAAAAGTATGCTTTTAATGTCAATAACAACATTGTTCTCTCTTTCCATCTTGTCGTTCTCGCATTTTCTTACGAAATCATATTGTTTTCTTTACACTTTTTTTTTTGTTTTTAATTCTATCTTGTCTCAGGATTCTGACACTTCAATATGTTTAAAAAAATTTTAATTATGTGTGTGTAGATTGGTTACTCTAGTTTTATATTTATTACTTATATACCGAATCAACTACATAGCGAAATTCAAGTCTGATTACTTGGCGTAACGATAAAGAATGCTAGCTTCAGATCATCATCAGAAAAATCAACCAATGTCTTAATCCAGAGCATCACCTACATAATTGTGTTATCTACATAGCAAAATTTCAACCAAATCGGTCCAGCCGTTTTGGCGTGATAAAATAACAATCAAACATTAAATAGATTCTCACACACTTTTTTACATTGATAATATTATTAGGATCAACAATCAGCCAAAAATATACGTCACCTGTTTTTCAAAAAAGTGAAATAAACTAGGCAGTGCAAACAATTTCTCTAGCTACATAGGTACCTGGGTGATTCTCCAAAAAACCTTAACTTTTATTTAACAAGTCATTATCCTCCCAGGTTATTAAGCATCTTAGTAATTTATTTTATACAATATTTTTAATCGGTTGCTTGTAAGCAGTGGTGAGATTTAATTTAATAAAATAATTATCTGTGTTTTAATCAGCAGACTCGTTAATTTTCGGTTGAGGATAATGACATTATTAATTTTTTTTTAATTGATGTGAAGAATCACCCACCTACTACCTACAAATTGTCTCTGGTTCAGCGTCCGTTTGAACAAACGTGTCCATTGTAGTTCGATACTCTTGACACGGTCATGGAGCGTTTGTTGCAAAATTTTCGTTTTTTCCATATCTGTCAAATAGGGGAACGTTTTTTACCGTAACTGTACCTACTTTTGCACGTTCTTACGTGTTTACACAGACGTGTAATTTTGCACGAAAAGAAATGTGTAAAAGTCAAATAAATAAAATAAATGAATATTGTAGTCAACTACAATATTATCGAGTTCTAATTAATTTTATTATTCTTATTGGCTTGGCGTGTACAACGTATAAAAGTCCTGTTTTGTGATCTAATGACAAAAATAAATTCATTGATTAATTGTTGTCAGAAATTACAATTTGAATTAAGAAGCACTTTTGCAAGGCAAATCATAAATCGATCTTGTAGTGAAACTATTAAGATATTTATGAAAAAAAAACTACACAGTATTACCTGAATTGATATATTCTGACGAAGATCCCACAGGTGCTAGTCTGACCTTTAAAATATATTCCGTCCACAGTACCAGGGTCTATATTGTGGTCTAAGCAATATAACGAATAGGTATTAACATAACATTCTACATGAAATGTTAAGAAAAGTTTTTTCAATATTATGTTGGTATGTATGTAGTGGTCATACGAATTTTATTTAATGGTCCAATCGTCGTAGAAAAGTCTGGACGTTTCCATATTTTTTGAGGTGTAGGTATTGATTAATTTACTTTTCCCACCTTGAGTAAGGCGAGAGTGAGTGTCAGAATCTTACTAAATAATAACCATTCCGAACATTTTCTGGTCCCGAATCGTGCCACGATATATCACTACGAATAGCTAGAGGACTGACTGTCAAACTGACACTTTTTATCAATAATTTATATTATGTAACTTTTTTGTTTGGTTTCAATTGTGCCCATAGTGTTGTAATTCAGATAATTTTTTCGACTTTTTTTTACTTTTGATATAACTTATTCCATACAGTTTTTGTTCTACTAACATATCTGAATTATAATATAAGGTTTGAGGTTTAACTCACCAAATTTTCTTTTGTCCACAGTGATAGCCACAGCTCACAACATCACGTTTCTAGAGGTACCGATGTACGGTGATCCTCACCAGGAAGCGAACCTTATTTGCCACTATATGAATGACCAGGGCGACCCCGCACTGCACTCCGTCAAGTGGTACAGAGGCAGTAACGAGATATTCAGGTTCACACCAGGACAACAGGTGGGTGTCTTACTACTCAGAACTTTATTCGTTACAATACATTTTAATCACAATTATTACGATGATTACTGTGATATTAGATATTTATGGTTGATATTTGAAGGGTTTTTTGCACAGAAATTGCATTTTCACCTTAGTATGTGTGTGTACCTACACACTGTGAGCATGTTTAGGCATTTTAAATCTACATACAACACTCCAAAAGAACAGTTGAATCAGATAGCAAGCAAAAAGACTTCCTAGTAAATTCTGTTGCCTTAGTACTACGTTGAAAAACATGGCATATTACTTATTTATTAACATCGTTATCGTCATCAAGAAAAAAAAAAACATTTAATTTTCATATCTAATAGACATATTGTACTCATCCATTGTACGGTCCATATTGTTGTCTTTCTTTTGGGCTTTGGTCGAAGCCACAGCATCAGGTAGTCTATGTAATAAATACATGAATGATAAAATATATTAAAACATGAAACTTATTCTGAATCATCAAAACGTTTTGGTAAAATATTATTGTTCGTAACATTTTTAATCCCTCTTGAATAAATTAGCTGAAACTTAAGTAGTGGAAATGTTTTCGGAAAATTCCTTTGAACTTTTTTATAATGGAATGTAATGTGCTCTAGAGAGAAAGATCACAAAGGCATTTGAAATTTGATAAGTAAATATTACTAAGTAACAGTTTTGTACGAGTATGTTGATCGCTACTTGAGTTATGAACATAAATATCTAGGCTTTTGCCTTCATATGCTATAAAATTAGATTGAAGATATATATTTTTTCTTTATGTAATAGGTCAGAAAACGAGCAGACGGATTACCTGATTGTAAGCAATCAGCGCCGCCCATCGACACCCGCCACGGAGGAGATACGAGTGGGTTGCCGACCTTTTAGGGATTAGGATTTTGGAGATTTAGGGATTGGGGGAGGGGAAAGAAAGAAGAAAGAAAGAAAGAAAACACATTTATTCGACAAATAGTCGAAGGATTGGGCCTCCGGTAACCTCACTAACACGGCGAAACACAACGCTGTGGTTGTTTCACGCCGGTTTTCTGCGAGTCCGTGGTATCACTCTGGTCGAGCCGACCCATTCGTGCCGAAGCATGGCTCTCCCACACTGAAACATTTGTTACCAAACGTCATGTAGTATGTTAAGACTTCGTTATGTATATCAATGATATAAGTTATTTGCTACAAGACTAAACTCCTATTTTTTTCTTAATAATCCGTAGTGCTACGTAGCCATATAACATTTTGTTCGTTATGAACAAGCGATTGTTAGTGAATCTCTTCAAGTATTATGATACCCTGGTATCTCTAACATGTTCACACAATGTATTCTATATTTTTCTACGGTACCCGTACATTTTAGCAGGATTACACAGAAATGGGGCTGTTGTTGGTTCAGAAAATAAATAGCAGTGAATTAAATGGAAATATCAGGTTTATTGTGTATTTTTCCAGGATTGTAAATACAATGATTGTGTGTTTTGAGATTTTGTAAATGTATTTTGATTCCCCATTATTATCTTTTGTGTATTTTTGTAGATTTTATCCTTTTCCAAGCTAATCTTTAACAAAGGTCGTTGAAACAATTTTGCAAATTTTCCTGCTTTCTTACAAGTGGACATTATTCGTTCTTTAATTCGAAGTTAATCATTAAAATTTCTATGTAGATAGTCATTTTTATGAATGTTTATCTATACTTTATCATTCAATATTTCTTAAAAATTATCACTTTAACAAATTATAAATCATAGAAATATCCTAAAAAAACTAGACTAAAATTTATAAAATCGATATCGACCCAAAACAATCTCTGTAAGTCAAAGTCAAAGTCAAAGTCAAAATCATTTATTCCAATTAAACCATCAATAGGTACTTTTGAAACGTCAAAATAGAAAAGTAGTCTGTCAGTCTGTTCGTCAGTGAAGCTAGGTGCTCATTCCAAATTGTAGATTCGAATGGAGAAGAACGAGCAAGAAACTCCATTCGTTACTCTTTTTTTTTAAAAAAAATTGTTTTACAATTTCAATAATATAACATTTATAGTATACATTAGTGTACCCTTATGTGAGAACAATGCAGAGACAAGTTGTTAAAAAAAAGAACAAATGAATGTCGTCTCGAACATGGCGCTCACATATGCGTACTCACAATATTTAAGAGTGCTTCTATATAAACTTTTTGGATATTTAAATTAAGGATGCATTATTTTTGAGAATTTTACCTAACTGCTGACTATATTTGAGTATTGTCCAGTGGAGCCGAATCAACACGCTGCCAGGCATTCTTATCCTCAATATAATCTGAAAGTTTGTAGTATGCCTGTCTACACAATTCACGTTTAATATAAGTTTTAAATTTTCGTTCGTTAAGATTCAATACAGTACTTGGAATTTTATTGTAACAATTTACACAGAACCCCATAAAGGATTTCTGTACCTTGGACAGACGGAATCGTGGCACAGCCAGCCTATCTTTGCCTCTTGTATTAAAATTATGTATCGCTTCTTTTTTCAAATAATTGCAAATTTTTCCTTACATACATAATATTTTCATATATAAACTGACAAGGCACCGTCAGGATATTTATCGTTTTAAATAGTTCTCTCAGAGATTCGCGACGGGGCAAGTTATATATCGCTCGGATAGCCCGCTTTTGTAGAATAAATATTGATTCTACTTCCGCAGCTCGACCCCACAGCAAAATTCCGTATGACATAATGCTGTGAAAATAGCTAAAATAGACAAGCCTTGCTGTGTTCACGTCTGTGAGCTGTCTTATCTGTCTAACTGCAAAAACAGCAGAGCTTAGTCTCCCCGAAAGCGTCTTTATGTGGGAACCCCATTGAAGTCTATTGTCTAGTGTGATACCTAGAAACACTGTCTCGTTGACAAATTCTAACTTTTGCCCATTTAAAATTATGCTACAATCATTACTGTGTACGTTGGGCAAGCTAAATTTAATACATTTTGTTTTTTTCTCGTTAAGTGCTAAATTATTGACTGTAAACCAATTATGAACTTGATGAATGGAGCTGTTTACTTCGTCAAAATTATTAGAACGTCGACCTATTTTAAAAATTAATGATGTATCATCAGCAAACAGCACCATACTTGGCTCGGTTTTAAATAGAAATGGCAAGTCATTAACATACACTAAAAAGAGAAACGGACCCAATATTGAACCCTGTGGAACGCCCATTCTTATCTCAGAGCCCTGTGAGTTATAACCACCTACATGAACTCTCAGCTGCCTATCCTCTAAATATGATTTTAGTAGACGGAGTGCAGTATGTCTAATCCCGTAATGATCTAATTTCAGCAAGAGTGTTTCATGATCAACGCAATCGAACGCTTTTGAGAGGTCGCAAAAGACACCAACAGCATCCTGTGCTTCCTCCCAAGCACCGAGTACTTCCTTTATCAACGTGACACCGGCGTCAGTTGTACAACGACCTTTAGTGAAACCGTATTGTTGGTGATGGAAAATGGCATGTTTATCAAAGTGATGAAGCATCCGAGATAGCATTAACTTTTCGAACACTTTGCTAAGAACCGGCAGAACAGACACAGGCCTATAGTTGTTTGGTTCCTTAGTGTCACCATTTTTGAATAATGGAATAACTTTACTGTATTTCATTAGGTTTGGGAAGACACCGTCATCTATACTTTTATTGAAAATCAAAACCAGATACGGCGCTAAAGTTCGGATAAGTGATCCGCAGACTTTCACGGATAGTCCCCAAAGGTCCTCAGTTGATTTGACCTTGATTTCTTTAAAAACCTTTATTATCTCTAAAGGACTAGTATAATGAAAACTAAAGTCGCATTCGCATGATTTAACATTTTCTCTAAGCAAAGTTGCCGATAGTCTGGCCGATGATTTTAAATGAGCCGTTGTTTTGACAGGTATATTAGCAAAAAAAGTCTCAAACTCCTGAGCTACATCTGTGCTTGACGAAATCTGTCCCCTCTCTGTGTTTAAACAAAAAGCCGAATGTTTTAATTTATTCCTACCTGTCTCATTCTGTATTATTTTCCACGTAGCCTTTATCTTATCTTCAGCTGATTTTATTTTATTACTGATGAAAAGACGCTTTGCGGTTTTGCATACTATTCTAAATGTCTTTGAGTACAATTTTACATGTTGATGAAAAAGAGGGTCGCAATTGTATGGTTTCATGCCATAAAGTTCAAAAAGTTTTCGCACGATCTCCGGGGAGGCGGCGAACCTCCTTGCCGGATCACCGCCGTGGGATCTAGAAGCGAAGGCGCTCGCGCGCGTCTACAGTTTGCGCGCAGACGCGCGTCGCCGGGGCGAAGATCCTCTGCCGCGCCAAATTAGTGCGTGGCGGAATGAGCTCCGGCGAGATCTCATGGCAGAGTGGAAACAACGACTGTCGCAACCGAGGGCCGGGCACGCTACCATAGCAGCGGTAAGACCCCTCTTTGAGGAGTGGCTTGAGAGACGCCACGGCGTCCTCACCTTCCGTCTGACGCAGGTGCTTACCGGGCACGGCAGCTTCGGTAGGTTCCTGTTTCGGATTCAGCGGGAGGAAACGCCCGAGTGTCGTCATTGTGAGGACCACCTAGAGGATACGGTGGAGCATACGGTAGCGGTATGCCCTGCCTGGGCTGAGCACCGCCGTATCCTCAGGGAAGTGATCGGCGGCGGCGACCTCTCGCGCCCGGCCTTAGTCGAGGCCATGGTGCGGAGTGAGAGGAACTGGGACGCCGTCTCCTCCTTTTGTGAAGCAGTCATGCTCGCAAAGAGAGAGGCGGCGCGCGTGAGGGAGCAATCCTCCTCCTCACGCCCCAGCAGCCGCAACTGGCGACACTACGGGCGTCGGGGATCGAGGGACGATCTCCGGCCACCGTAAGTACGGGCCTGCGGTCGGCGAGTAAGGGCAGCTCGCCGCCCGACCAGAACCAGGCCCGAGCGTACGGCGCGTAGCGTTCCGCGCGCGCCTCAAAGAGCCAATAGACCACCACAGACGGGGCCCTAAAGGGCTGATGTTCAGCCGGGGTTGCGGGGTAAGCGCAATGAGGTACCGCGACCTCGGCACAGAGCAGGAGAAGGAACAGGGGGGTTTTTAGTCAGTAAGAGTCTGACACTCCCTCCTGCCCGGCCCTGGGCGGGAGAAGTCATTTGATGATTTTCCCCTCACACAAAAAAAAAAAAAAAAAAGTTCAAAAAGTTTATCTCTACTCTTACGAATACCTGCGGTAGCCCAATCGCTAAACTGAAACTTAGCATAGACGTCTTTATATTTCATTGGCAAAATATCTTGAAATTCCCTATTTAACACCGTAAAAAATTTTTCGTATAACCTGCTTGGATTACTTACATCAAAATTTTCTATACTTAATTTAGATGCTAATGAATCATTAAGTTTCTCTAAATTTTTATTTGTTATATGTCTAAACTTTATTTGAATTTTTTGAAGAGGCAAATAAGAGCTGTAAGTAACCACAAGACCACTGTGGTCAGAAGGTAAACTGTTTATAACTTTTTTTTCTAAATAGTTGCAGTTACTAAAAATGTTATCAATACATGTGGCTGTGGAGGGTGTTATCCTAGTCGGTTCTAGAAAAACATTTTTTAAATTAAATGATTCAAACAAATTTAATAGCTCCATGCCACTTGTATTGTTCTCCAATAAATTAATATTAAAATCGCCACATACAAGTACTGATTTATGGCTAGAACATACTTTTCTCAAAACATCTTCCATTACAGAATCAAACAATGCAAGATTCTGATAATTAGGTGGTCTATATACACAAACAACAACATGTCTATCCAGCTCAACACAGGACAACTCAATAGTGTGTTCAACTGACAGTGCTACAATATCTTTCCTTTCTTTGGACTTAATGCCATTTTTAACTAAAATTAAGGACCCGCCGTGTAACATATTCTTTCTACTAAAATTACTTATTACAGTATAATTTTGCTAGTTCAGACTCTAATGCAGATATTCGTTTTAGCGCAGCTTCATGTGTGTCTCTGCACTCTTGAAATGTGGAGATGGTGTACTGCATCTGGTTGTGTTGATCTAATACATCCATATACTGGATGTGCAGTTCAGCAAGCTCATTCTTGAGGGATGTGTTTTTGTCAACTATAACTTTGACTTCAACCTCACTGTCATCCCGTTCTTGGAGCAATTGGCTGCACAGCTGTTTTGTTTTCTCCAGCTCTTTAAGTGTAGCCCGCAGTTTCTCTTCCAGGTCCTTAATGGTGGTAGCCCTCCGAGTCATCATTGTCTTAGTCTTAGGCTTATGTCCTTTATTTACTGAAAGGGTAAAAAGTTAGGTGTTAGCAATAATTGAAAATAGTTCTTGTATGTGAATAGTGGAGGTAGACCGAAAAAAAAGGAGAAAAAAATAATAATAAAACAAAGTATTTAATATTAAAATTACAAAGAAAAGTTAGTTGAATTGGAAATGGAGATGGATTATAATATTATTACGACAGATTTGACTGTAATATAGCTAGTGATAGATTAAAATAACAGGTAGGGACAAAGTTTAAAATTAGTAGAAAAACGTAAATTAAAGGTTAGTACAGTAGTGGCCTAACATGTAATTGTGGAGTCAGTTATGTAGTTTTTATTGTCTGGGCTAATGTTTTCGTCGTCGATTCTGCTTCCACTTATCGTCAAGCAAAAGGAGACATAAACTGTGCCGGTGTGTACGGGACGTTACTCAAAGACTTGAGTAGAGTAAACTTGTCAGTGTTGTTTAAAATTCAATTATATAGCGACACAATATTATTAACTACTTAATTCTAACACAATAAAAATGAAGATAAAAACAAATACTCCCCCGGTTTTATGATTTTGAATCCACCGTTCGTCGTAGTTCCTTTGTTTGACAGGTTGCCGGTAAATATCACAATGTATATGTGTAATTACGCAGTAAAAACACTTCACATACACTCAACACAATACTTATTACTATATTTATTGAATTTACAATAAATTAGGCTAATTTGATTACTTAAATTATTTAATTATATTAAAAATGTTAGGAGGCCGTTTTTATTACGACCGGCTCGCAGTGTTGCCAGAGCAAAAAAAAAAACGTATGTATTAATCGAAAGGCTAATCTTAAACCACATGTTTTATGATTGTGTTTGATTATTTATTTTAGCCATTAGGTAGTTTCACAACATTAATGAAAATACCAATAATTAATATTATTCGCTTTCTATCGTAGCCTCCGACAAGGACGTTCAACTCGACGGCAGGGGGCGTGACCAAAGGCTCATGCAACCTGAACAGCTGTGCCATCAGCGTGGTACTCCCTAGGAATTACAATACCAAGCTCTCGTTCACTTGTGAAGTGTCTACTGAGGGTCCACGGTTTGCAGTAGTCAAGCAGACCAAGGAATTGACAGTGGCTGGTAAGTTAATCCTGCTAATATTATAAATGAGAAAGAAAGTTTGTCAGTATGGATGGATGGTGGTTTGTAACTCTTTTACGGAACAATTACTGAATGGATTTTGATGCAAATTGGCACAAATATCGATTATAAACATACTCCTGTTGTTTAGTAAGAAAGTGTTAATAAAATAAAATTCATAAATCATGTTAGAATGAAAACTATCTGATGTTTCATTGTGGCAAGCAATCATCGCCGCCCATGGACACCCCGCAATACTCAGAGGAGTTTTAAGTGTGTTGTCAGCCTTCCGATGGTTATGGGAGTCGAGGGTTAAGAGGTTTAGGGATTGGATACCCACATGGCAAAACACAACGCAAACGTAGTTTTACGCCTGTTTACTTCAAGGCCGACTCAGGTATCAATGTAGTCGAGACAAACCATAGGTACCCGAAATATAAATCTATAAGGCTTAAATACAAATCACGAAGTTTAAAAATCGAAGTTATAAGAAACTTGGCTCAGGTTAAAATAATTAAACTTCCACAAATGAATATACGCCATAGAATATTTTTGATTGAAAATGCTACAAATAGCTTACGATTTTAAAGACTTATGCGAGTTAGTATTCAAGATGTGTATTTGTTTCAGTGACGTTGAAGGAGGACCCGGTGATATCGGGAGTACCGGGCACTGTACAGCTAGGTGAAGACGTATTGCTCAACTGCACCACTAAGCCGGCGATGCCACCGGCCAATATCGTCTGGTATATTGATGGGAGACCGGATAGGGTGCGTAAAATTTTCTATATATAATAAATAAATAAAAATATTATTCTAAATATATATTATTCTATATGTGAGAACAATGTAAACAGTTATTATTATATATGTAAGAAATGATGTAACAAAAAAATGAATTTTGAAACTGATTCAAAAGTCAACATTTAATATTCAGAATGATTTATTTCAATTAGATCTTTACATGCACTTTTGAACGTCACACACAGCTTAAAGACAAAAGTTTCAGTCTGTCGGTCAGTCCTCTTAGTGAAGCTATTTGCTTGATTGATTGAAAAAGAGACAAAGAGTAACCACGGAGTTAATTGTTCATTCTTCTCTATAGGAATCTACACTTTGGAATGAGCAAATAGCTTCACTAGAGAACAGACCGACGGGCTGACATATGAAGTTGAAGTTTATAATTTTTTTTTTGTTCTAAGTTAATTTATGCCTATACTGGTATATTTGAGATTAGGGGTTGAGACTGATTTATGACGTCGATAATTCCCCTTATTACAACCGACTAAATGATGTAACAAAGAAATGAATTGTAAAACTGATTGAAAAAAAGTAACCATAGAGTTTCTTGCTCGTTCTTCTCCATAGGAATCTACACTTTGGAACGAGCGAATAGCTTCACTAGAGGACAGACTAACACGCTTAAAATTAAAGCTCTTTAAATACTTTTTTCTTTGCTTGACGTCATTAAATCAATATGTTACCACGTATTTATTTTTTATATAGAAACTATTGTGAGGCATACCGATTGTATCGGAAATAACGACTAATTTAATTCACGTGTAAAAGTAGTAATTTTGAATAAAATTATTATACTTAATCAACAATAGAATCAAAAATCAAAACCTTGAGGTGGGAACTTGGTTGTGTTTAAAACCCTAACGTTATGCAGTTAGATATCTTCGCATGAAAAAGTATGATAAATTTTTTTTTTCATTGTAGTAATAACTCTATTTCTGTAATGGTATTTTTTATTTGTCCTAACAGACGGATTTTGGTACGAGGAATAATAACACGCCAGTCTCACACGCCAACGACTACAACCTGCGATCGAGTTGGCGAGCCATCCGACTTCGAGTGGCGACCTCTAGAGGCTTCATGGCCTTACGCTGTGAAGCTATACAGCCAATGCAACCCCCATACATCAGGGCTACGAATGCGACCCTGGTAGTTGCAAGGTCGCCACATTTATCTATGTTTACAGCTGCAGGTGAGTTTTTTAATACTTTCACTGTGATTATGGAACTAAATTTCATTAATTTAATAAAAATACATAGGTACATTTAATTAAGAATACTATCAGATGCAATGCAGTACTAATATTAAGACTAAAATTCTGCGCGTACTAAAGTAATGTGAACTAAGATACTCAAATAAAATTGTCTACTTAATGCTTAAAACATTTCCTAACATGGTATGTAGAAAAATAATTTTATAAAATCATGTTTTCGTAGCACGTACCTCGAAAAAACTCAGGCACAGTTTGTTACCGAGTTCCTTCAGAATTATGCTCGCCTGGTATTTTCATATTACACTCGTACACCATTCTGGGAACGACTGTAAAAAGATAAATAAAACCGGCAAACTTCGTCTGTCACCAACGCGAAAAGACACGACGATGTTGCATCGTGTTCTCTGTCCACCCAACCGACTCGACTGTATAAAATGTATGATAGAAGATGCTTAAACTTTTGTAATTAGATCTTTGAACACATGTAACTTCACCTACTCTAACTACGACAGCTTGCTTCCATCAAGCTACTAATTAACATACTATGCTACCCTGGTAGACGTAATTAAGACATGGCAGAGATGACTTGCATTCCGTTCCACGATTCTGGTGAAAACCACTTAATTTTCTTAAGGGTTATTTGTCTAATTTCGCAAAGGGTCTGGATAGCGATAAGTTTTCGAGTCTGGCTGAGTTTTAGTGAAGATTCTCAACTATTCGGGAACTAACGGAATAGTCTAGTAAAGTTTGTCTGTTTATCGTATACATTTTGTGTGCAATATAATTTGGCAGCGATGTCGGAAATTTATACCAATATAGTTCCATGCTAGATTTTATAGGTACATAAAACCTACAACAAAAAAGTAAACTGACATGTCATTCGATGTAGATTATAAAAATATTTTTGTCAACCAATCAAATTTTACAACAAAAAGAGAAAAATGTAATAAAAAACCAACTTCATATTTTGTTACCTACAACTTTTTATGCGTACTCGAGCGATTTGATTTATAAAAAAAGAATGTTGGAGCACTTTTTTATAAGCTGGAATATTATAGTCGAATTTTGATTTAGATTTCGGCATTTCAAAGAGCTTCATCGAGGCATATGCAATTTCTTGCTCAGATGGTCGATCAATGGTATAACGGCAATTATGGCTGAACATGGACGCACATGATTCACGAATAACTTCGTTTCAATACTCGATAACAAATCTGTTATTGGTCGAGTGGCTTTCTCTGTTATCAAAGAAAAGTTAATTGCCTGAATATGTATGGCTCATTGAGCGCACAAATGATAGAGTTGATGGCTTTGTGATACAAGTTCATGAGACTTAGTTATTGGCCGGCCACTGAATAGTGGAAAATATCTTTAGTATCTTGTTATTCAAACTTTACTTACTTATTTCATAGTTTTCATAAATTATCTTAAGTTTTTTTCATTGATTTTCATAAGACTAGAGTTAAAAGATATTTCCCTTTTTAGATCAAATCTGGTTATATTTTTTTATTTACTTCGAAATGGGCAGGCGTTTTTCTGCTATCACGCCTGGTGGCAAGCGATAGTGCGACCTACGATAGAGCATGCCTAACCAATAAGCGACTTACTTACTTACTTACTCAAAACTTTGAAAGATATTACCCTTAACAAATATTCCGTTGTCCACAGGTTCAAGCTCAACCATGTTGGAAGCAACAGTACTGATTCTCCCATTGTGCATCTCAGTACATATATTTTCTAAATACAGTGCCTTGAGTGAAGTCTAATCGATGCTGTAGGTGTCAGCTTAAGTATCGAGCGTTTAGTATAGTTAGATATCCATTCCATCACTGCAATGTTTACACGACAATTAATGGGTTTATGAGGTATTTTTCTAAAGAAGAAAAATATTTGTCTTAAAAGAAAGCTATCAAATGACTTATCATTTTTCCTGGAATTTAAGGAGAAAACTTACCGATCAACTTAATGGGCCATTCTATTGAATTTAGTGACGTACGGTAACTTTCCGATACTGAGAAATGAATGAAGAAGCGTGCAAAAACTGAACAACTTCTTCAATTTAAAACAGTTCATTTAGACGTACAAACTTAAAAATCTACATTTTAAACCAGGGAATTAATTTAGAAGATAGCGTGGTCCGAAACGAGGAGTCGGAGGTCGGGAGTAAAAAATGTAGATTAGTTCCAGCAACAGTTGGCAAAACGTTATGCTGCTCAACTACATTTTGACGTTTTCCAACATCACTCTCCTAAGATCCGCTGCTTGCCTGGTACCACTTCACAAACACGAGTAGTGAAGTAAAAGGAGCTATTAGATGCGGAACTGAAGAAATGTTACCGCTCTTTAAAACTACCATAATAACAGCATCATCATCGGCTATATATTCAAAAATATAATGGTGGCAATCGTTTGCAGAGAAAATAACAAAAGAACTGTTCCTATACATCTATACGATAAAAATAGTCCATCGAGTTTACGGTGAAATAAAGCGTGTCCCGTCTGCATGGAAAAATAAGCTACCGTGAAATTTTGCGCTTTATTATTTACCTTACGCGTTCAATAATATAGCGTTTCGCTCACAAACAAAGCACCAATAAAATGACGTATTATGAAAATGTATGCTTAAGAAAACATGCATGTGACTATCTCAAACAGCATTCAAAGAGTCAGCGTATCAATTTTATCTTCGTAAATACATAACGCGAACAATCGTAGGAACATTCAGTCATCTTTTATTTCCATTCTCCATTTAATATTTATAAAGTCCTGGTACATTTTACAATCAAATGTGACTCTGTTTTGGCGTGTAAACATTGCAAATATTACGTAGCTGTATTTTAGAAGCTTTTGGTAAAGTTATTAAAAGGATGTGATACGAAAAATGTTATTTTTATCCTTTCCAAGGAAATATAAAGTTTTAAGTTTGTTGTTGATGCTCATATAGGTAAAGTTACCCTAGTTATCCTAACAGCCAAATAAAAATGAGAAAATATTTTAGAAAAAGAAAACACAAAATTAAACTTTGTAAGTATTTCGAATTTGTCAGATATAAAACTTCTGTTTTTGTAAAAAGATTTTAATCGGAAAACATTATTATGGAATGGAAACCAAACGAGTTATTTTAATGAAACATTCAAAATATTTGCTTTTAATGCAAACTGTGAGATAATTTACCCATTATTAAATTCCAAATTAAATTCTCAAACGTTTATTGGTAACGTGGGAATTTCACTTGTAATTAAATTACATGCACATTTTGAACTTTAACAAAGAACAAAAAAACACAATGAAAATATTCATACGTAGAAATATATATCCATTCTAAAATAACTACCAGGAGAGTAGAACACAGAAAGAAATAAAATATGTATCATATTTGAATGAATTTGCAATGTCCGCGACCCGCGTGCGTCTGTTGTCTGTAACATTCTTTGAAATGGCGCTGGGAATTGGAGGCTCAATCCATTGTCAGGCCCAATAAGCTTTTAGAGCTCTTTGACCGTGCATGCCTACTGTTTTACTCGCAATAACGCGATATTGTCTGTTATCACGTTCATATTTGATGTGATATGACTTTTCATGGGGGTCCCTGTGGAAGTTTACAAGTAAACGGCAGAGATTGGGAGTTACAAGTTTGTTTTCCTGTAAGGCATCGCGTGAAGATGTGATTTAGATAGGTGTTAATGTGAAAATAATGCTCAGTAATTTGTAGATAGGGTGGTAGCATGTTGTTTTTAAGAATCTATTATCGTATTACTATTTGTTCTAAGAGTATTTTATTTGATAAAAACAAAATACAGCTACGTAATAAGTGATATATTTGTAATAAAAAATGTCGTAAAAATAAAATTATATTATAAAATCAATTATTCTATAAATAGCAAGCACTGAATTTCGATGTTTTATGTCACGAGAAAAAATAAAAATTTGTAATATTTACATATGTTGGAGAGAAGCTGATGCGAATAAGATTAAGTTAATGTAATGTACAGAATAAGGCCGGGACGAGTTGTGTTGACAGTTTAGCGCTAAACCTACGTTCAACTTTAGCGTTAAGTTCGCACGTTAAGTTACTGTAATAGGTTTTTAAGTCACCTTACTCCAGACATCTGGTAAAATATAAGTTTTGGAACAAGTAACTGGAAAATTGTGTAAGATATTTGCCACTAGAGATTTCTGTAGTAGAAAATGCTCATTTTACGGTAAGAAGGCTTTTGTAAGGACGAGATTCATATCTAAAGTACATACGATTACTAATTTCAAGTTGTTCAGGATTATTATGGAAAGAAAACAGTTGGGCCAATAACAAAATGCTCGGAAACAATGGAAAGGAAACATCCGATACGAGGAGATACTACTCCTATTGTCTACTTGTATGTGGCTCGGGCCTTTTCAAAGATGAGCTATAGTACTTCAATCTTAATAATTTATTTATTTAATATTATGTAGTTCACGTTCATTTAAACCTATTTTATAATTTATGGAATTATATTAAATTCTAATTAAACTCGTTTTGATTTTTTGTCAAGACATCCTTGCATGTCACCGCCGCCATCTTGTCCAACTGTCAACATGACAACGTCAAATTGTTGTTAGAAAACTGTTTAATGAAATTATTTGTACGTTGTTTAGTTTTATGCAACGAATTTATTACTTTTTTGTATTTTCATAATGCTCTAGTATTTTTATTGCCGTTCTTTTGAACTAATTGTCTTAATTGCTTGTATGTAATAATTATGTGAGTTAAAATCCTTCTACTTTTTATTAAACTTACAAATTGATTTCTAATTCTCCTGGTAATTGGGTAAAAAAATAATTTCATAGAAATCGTCATAATATGGAAATACAAGCTAAGTTGACTTCAATACTTATCAAAATGTTAGTAGTATCTAATAATGTTTTAATATTTGTACCTACTTCCGCAATCAGCAACCCATTTACCAGGAGAGCAGTTTATTGCAGGATATCTCTTTTTTGTA